GAGTTTCTTTAGTGATAATCAAATAAATACACAAATTCAATGATTTCATCAGACTATTATGTATAATCACTTAAAGTTAATACTCAATTTTCGTGATCATGTGGTTTTTATATTTAGATTTTCTATTTGTTAATATGTTAGACGAATTGGACTAATGAGATAAAGTTAAAAGAAATAGGTGGTAAATAGACTTTTTCATTGGACAATTTAAAATAATTTTAAAGAACCTCTAAATGTGGACTTAGACATGTCATATGTTTTTGTTTGTTTGTCAAAGACATGTATTCTATTTTAATTATACTTTTTCATACATAGTTTATGGAAATATTTAAGCAAAGATAGAAGGTTTAATCTTGGATCAAAGTTTTAATTTTTCTTTTTGCTGTTTCAGTTGATTGGGTCTTTTTACAATGTACTCGTAATTGCAGAATACTTGTCATGACATATATTTATATTTTTTTTCATAGCAACGATTTTTGTTTCTTTTATTGTTAGTTTCATCTGATTGATCTCTTGTATAGAGTTTCATCTAAATGACATTTCTAAAGTCAGAATTTCATAAAGACTATATTTATTTATTTAATAACCATGCACCGAGTTAGTCTATTAATTAAGTAGAATGTATATTGAGTGATGAAATGGCTGATGATTTTGATAAAAGATGGAAGGAGTATGGTAATTTCCAAGTAGTATTAGTGCTTCAGTTGTTTAAATTTGATCGCGACGATGAAGGTTCGTATATAATATATTTTTATCATCTTTTTGTATCGATATAGCATATTTATGATTTATGTTATATTTTTTATATGTTTCAGGCAATCGAGTAATTTGTGATTTGTGTTTTTATGCTTACATGATGCAGGATTGTGTTCTCGAATTCTCATTGATCCTCCTTTTCGCGAGGTTACGGAATATTAGCCTTCATATATATATTTTATAAGAATAGATACAAATATTTTTTTTAAAATGTGTTTAACCATATATTTTATAGGTGTGTTTCATTATTTCAGGTTATCATCTTCTAATCCGAGTCTGAAGAACTATCCATGGCCATGATTTGTATTATTACGGATTTGGAAAGAGAAAATTTTATGTGGCAGCTTTAGAGGGAAGAAAAAAACAGTACAGAGATTAATAAACCTCT